GAACCGGTGTGAGGGTGGGGGGCTCACAGGAATGGAGAGTAGAGGGACTAGGGGGTGTGGGAGGAACAGGGCTGAGAGGAGCTGCGGGGTCCCAGTCCCACCACCAGGGCAGACTGAGCCCCCGCTGCCATTGCTCACGGGAAGGGGTGGGGTGTGGCCTGAACTCCTGCAGGTAGCAAGGGGTGAGGGGGAAGCTGGAGGAGGAAATGGGGCCCTGTGAGGAGCTCCCCTCTCGAGGGTGTGGAGCACATGACCCAGAGCTCAGGTCCTGGGCCGGGGTGGTGATAGGGCCGGATTTCCAATTAGGCACAGTAGGCACATGCCTGGGGGCGCTGGCATTCTAGGGGTGCCTACAAGTTAAAAGTGGGTTAAACGTTTCATTTTTTATGGAAAACACCAGGGTCGGGGGGGGGCGGATGGGCACTGAAGATGCTGTGCCTAAAGGTGCATAAGGTGAAAATCTGTCCGAGTGGTGGCGGTAGGCGCTCTGCTCAGCAGGGAGTGAGGTGCAGGATCCATCCTGGACAGGACCCACCTGCCTGAAGTCCAGCCGCAGTGATCCAGAGAGGAGGGAGGCCCCAGCCTGCACAAAGAGGAGCAATGGCAGAACCCCACTAGCCCAGCACTCAGCCCTTGTGTGGCTGGCCCCACCCTTCACCACCCTCAGCCTGGGCACGGCTGCAGCAGCAGGGCCATGGCACGGGGTGAAGAGGGAGACAAGCATTAAACCAAGAGAGGGGAAACTGCATAACAAAAGAATTATAAACAAAATAAATTCCCTCATAAAAGTACTGTAGTGCAATCTCTTAATTGTGAAAGAGCAACATACAAATGCAGAATTATTTTTTGTTACCTAACTGCACTCAAAAATAAAACAATGTAAAACTTTAGCGCCTACAAGTCCACTCAGTCCTGCTTCTTGTTCAGCCAATCGCTCAAACAAACAAGTTTGTTTACATTTATGGGAGATAATGCTGCCCTCTTCTTATTTACAATGTCACCTGAAAGTGAGAGCAGGTGTTCGCATGGCACTTTTGTAGCTGGCATTGCAAGGTATTTACGTGCCAGAATGCTAAAAAATTGTATGCCTCTTCATGCTTCAGCCACCATTCCAGAGAACATGCTTCCATGTCGACGATGCTTGTTAAAAAAATAATGCATTAATTAAATTTGTGACTGAACTCCTTGAGGGAGAATTGTATGTCTCCTGCTCTGTGTTTACCTGCATTCTGCCATATATTTCATGTTATAGCTGTTTCAGATGATGACCCAGCACACGTTTGTTTTAAGAACACTTTCACTGCAGATTTGACAACATACAAAGAAGGTACCAATGTGAGATTTCTATAGATAACTACAGCACTCGACCCAAGGTTTAAGAATCTGAAGTGCCTTCCAAGATCCGAGAGGGACGAGGTGTGGCGCATGCTTTCAGAAGTCTTAAAAGAGCAACACTCTGATGCGGAAACTACAGAACCCGAACCACCAAAAAAGAAAATCAACCTTCTGCTGGTGGCATCTGACTCAGATGATGAAAATGAACGTGTGTCAGTCCACACTGCTTTGGATTGTTATCAAGCAGAACCCATCATCAGCATGGACGCATGTCCTCTATAATGGTGGTTGAAGTGTGAAGGGATATATTAATCTTTAGCAAATCTGGCACATAAATATCTTGTGATGCCAGCTACAACAGTGCCATGAAAACACCTGTTTTCACTTTCAGGTGACACTGGAAACAAGAAGTGGGCAGCATTATCTCCTGCAAATGTAAACAAACTTGTTTGTCTGAGCCATTGGCTGAACAACTAAAAGAACTGAGTGAACTTGTAGACTCTAAAGTTTTACGTTGCTTTAGTTTTGAGTGCATAATTCCACATTTGTAAGTTCAACTTTCATGATAAAGAGATTGCACTACAGTGCTTGTATGAGATGAATTGAAATATTATTTCTTTTGTTTCTTTTTTACAGTGCAAATATTTGTAATAAAAATAAATATAAAGTGAGCACCGTACACTTTGTATTCTGTGTTGTAATTGAAATCAATATATTTGAAAAATGTGGAAAACATCCAAAAATATTTATATAAATGTATTCTATTATTTACAACGCGCTTAATTCTGATTAATTTTTTTAATCGCTTGAGAGCCCTAGTTTTTACATTTTTATCATTAGGCTAGACGGCGAAATGAGGGGAGGAGGGGACAAGCAAGGAGGGTGAGCCTGGGTATGACAACTGGCCATGTGTGCTCTAAAAGAATTTCAGTACAAGGGCCTCAGTTCAGGAAAGAGCTGAACTTTAAGTGTTTGCTTAAGGACTTTGCTGAATGGGTGCCTAGAGCGGGAGAAAAGCCAGACTGAGAGTGGTCAGAGCTTGTTAGGTAGGTGAGAAGAGTTAAACTCGTATGAGATGTTGCTAATAAAGGTGGAAAGTGGGCAGTTGCCGGTGAAAGAGGAGATCTCAGCGGGGTTTTTGAGAAGGATGATGGCAGACTCAATGAGGGGAGTATTCAGTGGATCATGAATGATGATTGCTGCAATATTGGAGACAAGTGGTGGGAGGTTGTAAAAGAGGTACCTGAGTTTAGGAGGACATATCACAATCCTTAAACACTGGGGGGTTTCACGTAATGGAGTACAGAGTCAGGGCAATGGTAGGACCATCCAGTCTAATAGTTCTTTCTCCAGCATCTCACCTTTATATTTCATTGGGGCAGATCCTTGTCTCCTCCCCACCAAATAGAAATGAATTTACCTCTGCAGTCAGTGAAAGCAATCTCACAGGCCTGTCTACAGTTACGTGACATCAAAGTGAGGGACACTTCAATTAAAAGCCTCTCAAGAGTGTGACAAACTGGTTGCTTAATGGAAATAGTCGTCTAATATTGGTGGAGTTGAACTGGATTCAGTACGTTTGGGTATACTTTGGGGGTAATTTCAAGAACTGTTTGCCTGATAAGTTGATCTCTTGTAAAGGTTTCACTGTATGTGATGTTGGTAAAGAGCAATTGCTAATTTCATTTACTGACCTTTATCAAATGTTCTACACTGGGCTGGTCTACACTTGAAAGTCAGGTCAACTAAGCTATATCGCTCAGGGATATGAAAAATTCACATCCCGGAGAGAGGTAGTTAAGCTGACCTAGTGTAGACAGCGCTAAGCCGACAGAAGAATGCTTCCATTGACCTAGCGACCACCTCTCAGAGAGGTGGATTCACCACCGTGATGGAAGAACCCCTCCTGTCAGCGCAGTAAGTGCCTACATGGAACGGCTACAGCTATGCCACTGTAGCATTTCTAGTGTAGACACAGCCTGAGAGAGGTGCGGGGTCTCTGAGTGGCTCAGATGCAGGATTTAAGAGTTAAGCAATTTTGAAAGTTTTACCCTTAGTCTCCGAGTGCTACAGGAAAACAAATGCTTATGAGCCTGTTGGGTGACAGCAGCAAAATTCTTTCATGGCTTTTTAGAGTCTGTTGGGATGTTAGGGAAACAATTTAGAAGTAAGTTTGCAATGTGACATGTCAGCAGAAAAAGCCAATATGGCTTTGGGCTGCAGAGGCATAATGTCCAAGAGCAGAGAGGGGAGAGCCCCTAGGGCTCGGAGAGTGATCACAGTTGGAATATTGCAGTCAAACCTCAACATTTCATCACCAGGCAGGGTAAGTTACAGGGGTTCTAGAGAACAGCAATAAAACTGATTGGCGTTTTGGAAGGATGGACTTGTTGGGTGGCTCAAGGATTTATAACCAAGAATAACAGCAGAATACAGAGCCAAAAGAAAATGTAAGGTAATAGGAAACCTTCCTAACAGATGGAGCCATCTCTTAAGTGATAAAAGCCCCATCGAAAACTTGCGTAAAACTAATTTTGAAAAAAAAAAAAAAGAAAGGGGAATGCAGAGTAGGGAACAATCCTCCAACGTTTTCCAATATATACATTCAACGTGAATTAGTAGATCTCTTCCATCCACCTCTAATTTCACTGACGCTATGAAATCTGGTAAAAACACACAGGAGAACTACAAAATGGATGTAACTTAATCCCGATCATCACTGGGACAGTGCTGAGCACCTGGAACAGTGGGCTTGTCTACACTACCCACCGGATCGGAATAATCGACTGCCGACCACTCTCCTGTCAACTCCGGTACTCCACCAGAATGAAGCGCGCAAGCGGAGTCGACGGGAGAGTGTCAGCTGTCGACTTACCGCAGTGAAGACACCGCGGTAAGTAGATCTAAGTATGTCGACTTCAGCTACGCTATTCACGTAGCTAGAGTTGCTTATCTTAGATAGGTTCCTTAGGGCTTATCGACACTACTGCGCGGGATCAAACATACAATGAAACCTACTTTTGTTTTCTTCTCTCAGCAGTGTTGTTGTTTTCCTGTGGGATTTCCCTGTTTCCCTGGATGAGTGCTCTTCCACTTGATCTCCTTCCTGTATATCCACTTGCATCTCATCTTCCACTTCAGACATCTTATTTTTACTTTCTTTTAGAAGCTTCTCGGGTGCTTTACACACCAGATGGTCTTTATTCTCCTCCTTCACCATATGAGCAATCTTAGTCATCAGCTCTTCAGCCTGGGCAGCCTGTTCCTCCCCTGTAGCTTTATTGTTGAAAGCGCAGTATCGGCCCTGACACTGTTCGATCAGCTGCCGAAGATGTTTGTTATCTGAGTGGGAGATATACTCCTCCAGGGTTCCACTCCGTAAGTCTCTGCCGGTGAATAAGACGATTGTGTACTTCATGGCCTCGGGGCCAAAAATCTCTTGTACTCTCCTCACGGCACGCTGGTCTTCCTGAGTGAACCGGCCCAGCTGGATCACCAGCACCAGAGCGTAGGGGTCTGGGGAGGACAGCGCGACACAGCGACAGATCTCACGGGTGGTTTGTTCATTAGAGTGCTCTGTGTCAAAAATAGCAGGTGTGTCGATAACCACAACCTTCCTTCCTTTCCAGGTCCTGCTGCCTTCAGTGCATGTCTGAGTAACGGGTGCTGCCGCCAGTATGGACTTAAACTTCTCCCACCCAAGGATGGTGTTTCGTGTTGCACTTTTCCCACCTCCACTCTTACCGACAAGGATGATCCTCAGTTCTGATTCCCCAGGGAGTTGGCTGCTGCTCCCCGGCCCTGTTGGGAAAAAATGTGACAGATTCAGATCACTACGCAGGTACCAGAGAGGTGGCACAGAACTAAGATTTGTGGCCCTGTGCTCACACTTGGCTTAACGCTTTAACTTTCTATGGAAGGGTAAACGGGCAGCCAAGGGGGCTACTGATCAAGTCAGTAAATCCTAGAGGTCTTGGATCCAAATGACTCCTGCTGAAAGTGAAGTGAGCTCACGTCTCATCCTTGTGAACCTTTATACACTGGAAATACATCACACAACACAGCACTTTGCATCATCTGGTTAGGACAGACCTAGGATTGGAGGACTGGGGAGTGCTGCATTCAGGACTGAGGCTTGTTAATGGAGCGGTGTTCGGTCCCAGACAGAAGCAGCAGATGAGGACTGGAATTTATTGGCACAGCTGTGGGGCCAAGACTTGAGAAGCGCCGGATGCAGCAAGTTGGGGCTGGTTTGTAATGAGGCTGGAACAGGGTGAATTGGGGGTAAGGAGGGAAGTATGGAGCCCCAGGATTAAAACAGGAGGGGTTGCTGAGAGTTCAGACTGAGGTTCATGAATGGATCTTTGAGACACATTTGCATGTCATGTGATTCCGTGCTCATTGTAGGAAGTGAAAGATTCCCGGGATTGTGTTCAATTCCAAACATGAAACCAGCATGCATGGCCATGAATCCTGCTACTGCTTGGCAAGAGTACAAAAATATACAATATCTGGCCAGATGTTTGGGATAAACCGAAGGCCGGGAGAACAGGGGATACTGCAGTTCAAGATTGATGTGCATAAGCAGAGCCGGATAGGAAGCCCAAGAACTGACATAGGAAGCTGGGTGGCAGGCGAAAACTTAAGTTCCTGAGCCAAGCTGCAAGAAAATGTTGCTTATCACCTGAGAGCACTGGCCCATTACTCTGGGTAAAGTGGTGGATGTTTTGTTTAGCAGTGTTTGTGTTGGGAGGGAGTACTTTGGTAAAAGGGATGATGGAAGATTGGCAGCCTGCGGGGTAGTGTTAAGGTAGATACATGTGAGTTGGAGTCATGGTAAAGTGTGTATCTGTGGTTGGAGGAGTTAGAGATTATGTACTGGCAGGTGGTTTAACTTTTCATTTTTTTGCTTTTGTGGGTTTGTCAGTTATATTGTGTGTAGGAAACTAACTGCTTCACTGAAATGTTTTTGTGTATGAATCTCCTAGGTTTTCAAAGGCTTAAGTGGGAGTGGAGTGGTGCACAGACCTTTCAGGAGAAAACTAGAGGTGCAGATGCCAAGGAGAAGATGTTATATGTCAGCAGCTGCACATGAACCTTAAGAACATAAGAACGGCCATACTGGGTCAGACCAATGGTCCATCTAGGCCAGTATCGTGTCTTCCGATAGTGGCCAGTGCCAGGTGCCCCAGAGGGAATGAGCAGAGCAATTAATCATCAAGTGATCCATCCCCTGTCGCTCTTTCACAGCTTCTGGCAAACAGAGGCTAGGGACACCATCCCTGCCCATCCTGGCGAATAGCCATTGATGGACCTATCCACCATGAACTTATCTAGTTTTTTGAATGCTGTTATAGTCTTGGCGTTCACAACATCCTCTGGCAAGGAGTTCCATGGGTTGACTGTGTGTTGTGTGAAGAAATACTTCCAATTGTTTGTTTTAAACCTGCTGCCTATTAATTTCATTTGGTGGCTCCTAGTTCTTGTGTTTATGAGAAGGAATAAATAGCACTTCCTTATTTACTTTCTCCACACCAGTCATGATTTTCTAGATCTCTATCATATCTCCCCTGTGTCATCTCTTTTCCAAGCTGAAAAGTCCCAATCTGATTAATCTCTCCTCATATGAAAGCTGTTCCATACCCCTAATCATTTTTGTTGCCCTTTTCTGTACCTTTTCCAATTCCAATATGCCTTTTTAAAGATATGGTGACCAGATTTGCATACAGTATTCAAGATGTGGGCGTATCATGTATTTATATAGAGGTAACATGATGTTTTCTGTCCTATAATCTATCCCTTTCTTAATTATTCCCAGCATTCTGTTCGCTTTTTTGACTGCCGCTGCACATTGTGTGGATGTTTTCCAAAAACTATCCACAATGACTATAAGATCTCTTCCTTGAGTGGTAACAGCTAATTTAGACCCCATCATTTTGTATGTATAGTTGGGATTATGTTTTCCAATGTGCATTACTTTGCATTTATCAACATTGAATTTCATCTGCCATTTTGTTGCCCAGCATCTGGTTTTCTGAGATCTCTTTGTAGCTCTTTGCAGTCTGCTTTGGACTTAACTATCTTGAGTACTTTTGTATCATCTGCAAATTTTGCCACATTACTGTTTACCCCTTTTCCCAGAACATTTATGAATATATTGAACACTACTGGTCAGAGTAGAGACCTCTGGAGAACACCACTATTTACCTCTTTCCATTCTGAAAACTGACCATTTATTCCTACCCTTTGTTTCCTATCTTTTAACCAGTGACTGATCCATGAGAGGACCTTCCCTCTAATCCCTTGACTGCTTGCTTTGCTTAAGAGCCTTTGGTGAGGGACTTTGTCCAAGGCTTTCTGAAAATCTAAGTATACTATATCCACTGGATCCTCTTTGTCCACATGCTTGTTGACCCCCTCAAAATATTTTAGTAGATTGGTGATGCATGATTTCCCTTTACAAAAGCCATGTTGACTCTTCCCCAACAAATCATGTTCATCTAGGTGTCTGATAATTCTGTTCTTTACTATAGTTTCTACCAATTTGTCTGGTACTGAAGTAAGGCTTACCAGCCTGTAATTGCCAGGATCACCTCTGGAGCCTTTTTAAAAAATTGGCATCACATTAGCTATCCTCCAATCTTCTGGTACAGAAGCTGATTTAAATGTTAGGTTACAGACTACAGTTAGTAGTCCTGCAATTTCACATTTGAGTTCCTTCAGAACTCTTGGGTGAATACCGTCTGGTCCTGGTGACTTATTGCTGTTTAATTTATCAATTTGTTCCAAAACCTCCTCTGATGACACCTCAATCTGGAACAGTTCCTCAAATTTGCCACCTTCCTCTGTCATGCACAGTTGAACATAAAGTTTATGCATCAGCAACAGTTAACACATAACAGAGTTTATTCTTGTGAGCTGGGTTAAACTTTGCTGTGGTTTGAGTTAAACCTTGCTCTTAAGATTGTTGTAAGAAATACTTAAGGGGCCACACCTATAACAAGGCCTAATAGAATCTGCTCAGAAACTAGCACCATCTAGCAGGGGGTTCCACTGGCTTTTGTGACCAGATGGGTGTGTGTGTGTGTGTGTGTGTGTGTGTGTGAGAGAGAGAGAGAGAGAGAGAGAGAGATGGAAGCCAAGCAGTAACCAGCCAGGGCTTTGTCAAGTGGGGTTTCTGCTTTCCCTCTCCTTCCAGCTCTTAGCTGTGCCCTGGCCAGCTCAGATCCGTTGCTAGCTCCAAACCACATATCAAGGCTGGTACCAGGTCTGGATAACTTAGGGTTACCATATTTGAACTTTCAAAAAAGAGGACACTCCGGGGGGGGTGTAGCCCCGCCCCCTAGCCACTCCCTCCCAATTCCCGCCCCCCTGACTGCCCCCCACAGGTCCCCTGACCCATCCAACCCCTGACCCATCCAACCCTCCCCCTGCTCCCTGTCCCCTGACTGCTCCAATCCCTCTCCACACCCCTGCCCCCTGACAGGTCCCCTGTAGCAGCACAAACAGCTCCTGCTCCCGTTTTGCTACCGGCGTGCTGAAGCTGCGGGGGAGGGGCTTTTGCTGCTGGAGCGGCCCCAAGTGAGCGGCTCAATCCGGCGCGGCTGCCCTGTCAGCCGCTTTTGGGTCTTTAAATAGCCGTCCGGGGGGAAATCCCGGACATTTTTAGCTTTTTACAAATTCCCCCCGGACGGCTATTTAAAGACCCAAAAGCCGGACATGTCCGGGGAAACCCGGACGGATGGTAACCCTAGGATAACTCAGTGTCTATTCTGGGGGTAGATTCTGCAGCACCATCAGAGCTGGGCCTCCTAAGCTGCCTGCTCATAACCCCCCTTTCTGTCCCTGTTCCCAGCCATTCCTTTCAGCTCCAATGTTGAGTTGAGCCAAATAGGCCTCTCAGGGAGCATCATTTGAGCTGGGACAGCCCAACCTCTCCCCTGTGGGTTCCAAACAGGGCAGAAATCTGTTGTAAATGTTCAGTCTTAGCCAAGTCCTCTGGCTGGCTCAATTTCCCATCCAGGAAGGCTGCCTTCCCCTGTGGGCTGTGACCCTTTGATTTCCTTCTGCAGCTGAATTTTTAGCTTCATACATACTTGCTGCAGCTTCTCTTGTTTGGAAAGTTCAAAATTGGTCAAATTCTGTTTAGTCTCTTCTATTTAATGGAAAAACTTCTCATCTGTGTCAGTCACATTGTTGGTCACCTCATCATCTTTCAGGAAAGATGAGGACAAATTGGAAAAAACCCAGAGGAGAGGAACAAAAATGATTAAAGGTCTAGAAAACATGACTTACAAGAAAAGATTGAAAACATTGGGTTTGTTTAGTCTGGAGAAGAGAAGATGGAGAGGGGACATTACAACAGTTTTTAAGTTTATAAAAGGTTGTTACAAGGAGGAGGGTGAAAAATTGTGCTCCATAACCTCTGAGGACAGGACAAGAAGCAATGGGCTTAAATTGCAGTAAAGGAGATTAAGGTTGGACATTAGGAAAAACCTCCTAACTGTCAGGGTGTTTAGTCAGTGGAACAAATTGCCTAGGGAGGTTGTAGAATCTCCATCATTGGGGATTTTTAAGAGCAGGTTGGACAAACCCCTGTCTAGATAATACTTAGTCCTGCCTTGAGTGCAGGGGACTGGACTAGATGACTTATTGCGATCCCTACACGACTATGATTCTGTGATCAATCTGTTTCACCATTCCAGCCTGGGGGTTTTGCAGCTGGGTTTCTCAATCTGTCCAGACACTTCATCATTGCTGTTGCAACAGGGAATCTCACCTCTGCCTGCAAGTCACCTCTGAGACCTTTCGGGCAAACCTGCAGAGGCTGCATTAATTCCTTCTGTGACGCCTCCAGCTCCTGTTTCAGGTCAGGGCTTAAAACCCACTGGCCACTTTTGATTACTGCAATTGCTTCCATTATTTGTTCCATCTTGATTCAGTGGGAAGAGATGGGCAGGGTGAGGCCTTGGGGAAAGGGGTGGAGTGGGGGCAGGGTCTGGGGCAGAGCTGGGGGTTAAGCACCCCCCAGCACATTGGAAAGTTGGTGCCC